ACTCATAGCGACCCCTCCTTGGGTTTCCGAGGCAGTATCACTACGGAAGTAGGAATGCCCAACCTTCCTTCCAAGGAGACTAGTGATCACTAAACATTTGCAATGAAAAGCTTTTAACTTCCCAAAGTGAGCTATTCCCAAAACTTCTTTGCTGGAGGAAAAGCACAGGAACAGAGACACCCAGGGGAAGGACCATGTTAAAAGCTTCTATTTGCAAACATGCCTTGATGCTCTCATCAAATACTTGACCCAAAGGGCTTGTCTCCAGTGTCTGTGTCTGCTCAAAGCCAGATTGCACGCCTGAAAGAGACCTTGTGACCAGTTTAGTTCAGCCCTCATGCCACAGACAGAAGAGGAAGGCCTTACAAGGTGAAATGACTTGCTTCTGGCACAGACAGGGCTAGAACCTGGGTCTATGAATCCAAGTACTTCTCCTCTGACACAGAGATAAACAGTCCTAATAACAGCAACTCTGGATTCTGTATACAGGAAGGACTTGAGGGAGCCAATCTAGGTGGGAGATGGGCTAGTGACTTTGTGCTGACACTATGTTTACATACTTTTTACTAAGATCGTATGTTCGTGTGGGATGATTTTTAGTGGGGCTGGTAAAGATTATGGGAGGAATGTTGTTGTTATGTGCTGCTGAGTTGGCCCTGACTCATAGCTACCCCTCCTTGGGTTTCCAAGGCAAGATCACTAAGAAAGTAGATTGCCCAACCTTCCTTCCGAGGAGTGGCTGGTGGGTTTGAACCACCAGCCTTCTGGTTAGCAGTCAAATGCTTTAGGCACTATGCCACCAGAGCTCCCATGGGAGGAATAAGAACCCCTTATAGTTAAAATGTTTTGCAGCAGTAGTGGTTCAGTGGTAGAATTCTCACCTTTCACACAAAAGACCTGGGTTTGATTCCCAGCCAATGCACCTTGTGCACAGCTACCACTTATCTGTCAATGGAGGCTTAAGTGTTCCTATCATGCTAAATAGGTTTCAGTGGAGCTTCCTGACTAAGCCAAACTAGAATGACCTGGCAATCTACTTCAAAAAGCCAGGAATGAAAACTGTCTGGATTACAATGGTCAACTCCCCAACCAATCATGGGGATGGCACAGGACCTGGCAGCATTTTATTATGTTGTTCATGGCATTCCCATGAGTCAGGGGCTGACTCAAAGGCAGCTAACAAAACAATAAGGATCCCCAAGCTAAAATGTCTCCAGTTACTAATATAGTAACAAAGGAAAAAATAAACAAAGCCATGGCCATCAAGGCAATTTTGACTCATAGCAATCCTATAGGACAAAGTAGAACTCTCCCATCAGGTTTCCAAGGCTGTAACCTTTACAAAGCAGACTGCCACATCTTTCTCCTGTGGTTTTAATATTATAGGCCTTGATAAGTATTTGCTAATTTTATTACCAAAGAAATAACCACCACCACCACCCCCCAAAAAAAGTCCCTTCACAGCTTAAATGAGCAAAAACAATCAATCTCCTTCAGTACCAGGCTCACGCTAGTATCGAGACAAGGAAGGATCTATGCTTATGACCAAGTCTTCTGGCTTCACTGAGAGCTAGATTAAACATTCAATCAGATGCCAAATTGCTGCACTTCTTCTACGCAGGTGGTACCATGACATAGCTTGTTTTAGGGTGTGAATTTAGTAGTCCCTGACACCCTTACAGCCACCAGGATCTATGTTATCATCATACAATTATGTCTCTATCTGTTCATTTCTGCAACACATCAAAATGACTAAATGGACGGGTCAGAACACTGGGAGGCTATATCTGCATGGTCTGACTTACAATATGGCTATGTGGGATACAAAATGTCACTGGGGATGAGGGCAGAAGGATATTCAAAGAAACAGGCAGCTGTCCTTCAGATTAGTTGAAACCAGGCACAGTCTGAGGCTCATGTGACTGCTGATAGGAGACAGGCTAAATCAATTCCACATATTGTAGACAGAGTAGACAGAGGTTTCAAGTACATAATCCAAAAGCACCACCAGGGCCCCTGGAAGCAGGGCTACTTCTCCATGGGCAACTCTGTACCAACTCTGCAACAGCAGCAATTTATTCACTTCATGATGAATGATTTTCCCAAGCAGAAATGGGAAGATTAGCTAATATTAACACTACAACCACGAGCAGCCACTACTTCTATGCCCACAAGCCTGCCACATACACTATCTCTACCATCATACTCCTGATGTTATTGTAAAGGTGAGAAAACTGAAACTTGGAGAGGTTAGTAATTTTCTATGGTCAAGAGGCCAGTAAATGGTAGAGCCAGTACTCAAATCCATAACTGAAAACAGAGCCCACAATCTACAATATCTTGCCATAGCCCCTAAGAAAGGCCCTCAGAATCAGTGTTTCCAGGGATCTTTCATCTACCAACTAGCCAGGCCCTCCCCTGTTTGTCTTCTAAGGTCAGACAGTGGCTAAAGGCAAAATCTGGGGTGCACGTGGGCCACCCATTTATCAGAGGCCCACTTGTGGATGCTGGGTCACACAGGCTATCAGGGCCTGGCACCACAAGGCACCAACTGGCCTGAGGTGCATACTCCAACACTTGATTGGCCGTGGAGGCCCCTGGGACCAAATCAAAAGATGGATCAAGCATGAAGGGACAGAGTGCCCTACTCTATCTAGGTTAGGGTCATTTTACACAAACCCAGGGCCACCTATTTAGGCCTATCTGCCCAACTACTAGGGAGAAACCTCACTCTATCCTTATCCATGGCTTCCCTGTGCCCAGGAGCTGGCCCTCCTCCGTAACAGCAAAACCACTGATTTTACCCTGGTTCCAATCACTTTACCACCCCAGGGGAAAGCATGTGAAACTACTTAGTGCCATCCAACCATGGCAGGTAGCCATTGTAGGCAACCTTACCTACTGGGGAACATTTCTATTCACCCCCTCCTAAAATATAGTGTCTCTTTGTTCCTCTGCCATCCGTGCTGAGTTTGGCAGATACATCTTAGACATGGTCACAGTCAGTTTTGCAAAGCAAGATTCAACTCTGGGAAACAAGTCTGGTTTGCTCCTGGCAGGGTACACAGATATCACAGTGCACAGTCCATCTGCCTTTAAACCACATTGGTCTCATCAAATCATAAGCAGCTTAATCTGGAATAGAGTAAAAAAATAATTTTGCCACATGTTTCTTAATCAGTGATATCTGGTTCTTACATGGCATGGGCTTTTTAGTTATAAGCAGGTGTGTATATATGTTTAGCCAGACACCAAACCAGAAAAAAATGACTGCCACTTTTTAACATTTATAAGTATTCACAGGTTTATTTCCTCTCATACTTATTTATTCATGAATTTTTAAAAGAAGAGCTTACTACTTTTCATCATCACAATCAGAGCACAGATACTGCACACATGTCTCTATAAGTAGGTAAATTTCTGAAATTTCTGAAAATCTTTCAGCTCTAAGAATAATCTTAAAACTTTCCTACTTTACCTCATTCTTGTTTTTTTAGCAAAGCCCTCAGTTTAAAGCCCAACAGAGAATTCTATTTTAATTCCCTCACAAAAAAAGCAATGTTGGCAGTACATTTCTGTCCTGTCACATTCCCTTCACATTCAAGTGGTTTTATTACCACAAACTTTTTGTATTAATAAATGTCTCAGCACACCCAAGCCTGAATATTAGATTTACACCTAATTTAAATCTTAACTTCATATATTATTCTTAACTTCATTTTACTCATTCTTAACATCAGTTAATTCAATGGTCAAAAACTTCCTCTGAAAAACTCTCCAAGTACAGCCTAACAGCCTTAGTTAACAGTATACAGACTTCATTTTTATAATCTTCACTCCTTTTAATTCTGCTCTTCATTGTGAAAGTTTCATCTGAAAGGCCAAACAGCCACTGTGCAAATTCTCATGGCACCAAAGAGATGGTGGTTAAACACATTTCCATGAAAAAGAAGACCAAAGTCTGAAAAGCATAAACCCCTTCTGCCTTTGTGATGTGGGAATTGCTTTTTTTTTTTTTTTGTATAGGGTCAGTGTTTCATTCTCCAATGACTACCCCTTTAGAAAAGTTTGGGCAAAGTGTCTACATGGAGACCTACACATACTCCTAAGTAGAAAAAGTTTGTCAGAGCTCGCCTGAACTTCCCATGCCTTACTTTTTTACTAGAAAACTGGGTGCCATACTGTTAACTAAGGCTGTTAAGCTGAAGGGAGCAGGAGCTGTACTTGGAGAATTTTTCAGAGGAAGTTGTTGACCATTGAATTAACTGATGTTAAGAATGAGTAAAATGAAGTTAAGAATAATATATGAAGCTAAGATTTAAATTAGGTTTAAATCTAATATTCAGGCTTGGGTGTGCTGAGACATTTATTAACACAAAAAGTTCGTGGTAATAAAGCCACTTGAATGTGAAGGGAATGTGAAAGGACAGAAATGTACTGCCAACATTGCCTTTTTTGTGAGGGAGTTAAAATGCTGACCCTCAAGACGTGAGCGGTGTGTAATGCTTACCCGGCAAACAATTCAGGGGTTTGCCTAGGTATTTGGCTTTCCCCTTCTAACCTCGGGAAGCACCAGGCACTCATCTCATCTCACACCTGTCATCACAACTACCCTGTAGGCGGAGTACTATTATCCTAGTTTTACACAGGGGCTAATTGAGGCTCTACGAACTTAAGTCACCCAAGCCACGCAGCTAAGTGGCAGAGCTGGGTTAGAATCCACGCTTGTCTGACTTAAAAGGCTTTGCTCTTTCCACTTTGGGCTGTCTCTGACGAAAGACAGCCTCCAACTCTTGGCGAAGCATATGGCTATGGTGCTGCCCCGGTGGGGCAGGTCCAGACCGAGGGTCTTTAAAGACCCCTCTCCTCTCGTCTCGGCGATTTCTCCTTACCCGGGAGCACCCTTCCCCCACCTCACCCCATCTTCGGCTCCGGGACGCCCCTCCCCCACGTCCACTCGACTGCTTTTCTCCTTTCAGCCCCTGGGTACCCGCGCCCACCTCGTCCCCGAAGTGTACGATCTTCTGGCCCGTGGGCCCGCGCGGCCCAGGGAGGCCGGCGGGAGCAGGGTCCAGGGCGCCGGAGCTGTGAGCGGCGTAGCGAGCCTGGACGTGCGGGCCCACCAGGTGCTGGTCGATGATCTCGTCCTGCTGCGCGGGGGGCAGCCGCTCCCACTCGGGCCCGTACTTCTCGCGGATCTTCTCCTTGTCTTGCATGATCTTCCTGGCCATGGGACTCAGCGATGAGAAGTATGTGAAGCGCTTCCTTTCTTTGTCGTCCAGAGGCCGGTTCCCGTTCATGACTGCCGAGCGCGAGGCCGCGATTGCCGCCGCCATGGAGGCCATGGCCCGAACCGTGCCCTGCCCGGCGCCGGGGAAGACTGGCTGCTGTGGGAGGCGGACGGCCCCTCCCTCCTCCGGCCCTGCCCCTCTCTCCTCCGGCCCTGCACGCCTCCCTTTTTTCCCCTCCTCTTCCCCGACCCTCTCTCTCCGCCTCCACCTTCCCTCCCTCTCCCCCGATCCTCCTCTTCTTTTTCTTCCCCACCTCCCCCGGCCCTAGCTCCTCCCCTTTGGCCCCCAGCGCCGGGTTCCCGGCTCTCCGCCTCCCCCAACCGCTGCAACCTCGCCCCTGCGCCCCCATCCCGCTCCTCCGCTCTCGCGTTTGCGAACTTCTCTTGGCTGCAGGCTTGCTATGCTGTGTACCCCTTTTCGGGTCCTCCCACCCGTGGCTCCGGAGGTGGCTGGCGCGTCCCTGAGCCCGGGCCCAGCGCTTTGAGAGGGTTGTTAGAGGTTTATTCTTACGGTGATGACCGTAGTTCCATGTTGTCACTTGCTTGACAAAGGAAACTTTTTTCCCCTCAGATTTGCCTAAAGAAGCCCCAACATTCTAGGACTGAGCAGTCTGCCGTTTTATTGCTATCATGGTCTTCTTGCCACTTTCTTTCCTTTATGTGCGGTCCTCGTTTGGTTTCTTTAACCAATCCCAAAAGCTGGATTAGGATCTTGCCACGATTAGATACCAGAAAGGGGGTAGATAGAGTACAGGGTAGCCACGAGGCGCAGAGAAACGTCATGGGAACCCCAGAACTAACATCTGCCATATAATAATAAAATTAATTTCCAACCTTCCTGAAGAGACGGGGTGGAGCCTAAATGAAGCATCAGGTAGTTTATAAAGGGCTGTCTTTAATTAAATGAGTGGGAATTGCAGTACAGAGGAGGCTGCCCCGAGGCTAGCCACACTTGGAGAGGCTGCTGCCAAGCAAATATCTTCTGATACCAGCTCACACCAAGTCAGGAAGGAAGTTTTCCCCAAGCAGGCCTCATGGCCTTTCTCTTCTCCAATGATAGGTTTATTTTGGAATTTCAGAAATCACCAAAACTCTCACTAGCTCTATGTTTGTAAACAAATCGAAGAGGGGTGGGTCGTTTTCGGTCAATCAAATAGAGAAGTGCTGTCCAAACAGTGGAAGAGTGTTTGCAGTGCCCCAAACATGAGAAATTAACTCAATGGCACCCAACAACATCAAGGTGTATTAGTGTATCCCAGAACACAAGAGTAAAATCACATAGCACCCCATCTGCTTGACCTCCTGTGTGATTTTAACACAAGACTGACAATAGACAACAACAGTCCGGTGAGAAGTGTCCATTCTTTACAAAAAATATTTCAGCTCTTATTTAGTCTTTGTCTCTTAAGTAGCAAATAGATAATTCCAAAGACAAAAATGGAAAATAATTTGCAAAGTTCTATTTTAAAGAACGGTGGACTGATAAAAGAACTAACAAATCTGTCCTGGAAGAAGTGCAGCCAGAATGCTCCTTAGAAGCGGGCATGGCCAGACTTGTCTCACCTACTTTGGTCATGTTGTCAGAAGGGACCATTCTCTGGAGAAAGATGTCATGCTTGGTGAAGTGGAGGGTCAATGAAAAAGGGAAAGCCCTCAACAACGTGGATTGACAAGGTGGCTGCAGTGATGGGCTGGGGTAGAAGTTGGCACAGGACGGGGCAGTGTTTCGTTCTGCTGTACAAGGGGTTGCTATGAGTGGGAGATGACTTGATGGCACCTAACAACAACAACAATTTTAAATATGAGATAATGGCCTTATCATCTTCCTACTGGGAAATTATAAAAAAGTATTTTTGGAATATCATGGGTGTGGCAAGTTCTAGAGTAAAATAAATATAATATCAGTAATGCTATTTTTTTTAGGAGCTCTGGTAGCATAATGGCTAAAGCACTTGACTGCTAACCAGAAGGCTGGCGGTTCAAACCCACCAGCCACTCCTCGGAAGGAAGGTTGGGCAATCCTACTTCCGTAGTGATACTGCCTCGGAAACCCAAGGAGGGGTTGCTATGAGTCGGGCTGACTCGACGGCACATAATAACAACAACAACAATGCTATTTTGAGACTAGCATATGGTAGCCATTGGGAAAAGACCCAATTCAATTCCAATCCAGATGATAGTTGGGTTGCAAACAATGTGGAATACTATTTATGAAGCTGGAAGGTTGAGAACAATTTTTTGGTGGTGGTATTCTCTCTATTTAAATTGTCGTTATCAGGTTCAGTACAGTGAGACTTGAATTCCACTGGTTTCTCTCCTCTACTCCTTATTTAATAATGTGGGTGACTTTTAAAGATGTACTGTATTCTTCAACTTAATTAATATCTTCAAACTTGCTTTGAAATTTACATATGAAGGGTTCTGTGTTATTAGGAGCTTGTTCCCATGCAGTTTTCAAAGCAGTTGCAAAAATAAAAGTTGTTTTCAAAAAAGCACAACCCTTATTAAGTATTTTAGATCAAATATAATTTATTGTCAGGGAAGTATGCAAAATAATATAAACATGAGATCACTCATGGACATTGGCCAAAGTATGTAAAAGTCCATGAACTGGATGATAAGGGGTAATTAAAAGAAAAATTCTTCAAGATTATAAGAAGAAACTCAGGGGAAGTAAACAGTTCAGACAGATGACTTAAGCGAAATTAGTAAAATGTATTATGTTCCAAGAGGGGAAATAAAAATAACCAAACTTCAAATATGAAATAAGGTGAAACAATGGGATGGATCTAGTGTTGAGCATTCTTTTCACTTCTTGCTATTATTTGACAATAGAAACTAACTCTCAAATTTAAAATAACATATTTCATTTTGTTTCTTTTGGCAATTGTTCATACATAGTCTATCATGTGTTATCCTACTTCCCCGACTTAGAAGAAAGAAATTGACATTGAGACCTTCCTCTGTGGCAGGCATTGTGAAACTTTACATTAGTTGGATGTGTTAGAAATTTTTACACTTGCTAGATGCATTTCAACGAGAACTGTGCCATCGACAAACTTACTAACTTCCATTTTCTTTCTATTTGGCTTCAGAATAGCTTGGGAAATTGTTTGGCAATTCTCTGACTTCACATCTACTTGGCATCTAATGTATACTGCATTTGTCATATTTTACCTATATGTCATCATGGTTTTTTTGTTTTTTTTTTACCCCTATGGCTATTTCAGAGCTCTGGTGGCATAATGCCTAAGGAATCTGCCTGCTAACCAGAAGGCTGGCAGTTCAAACCTACCAGCCACTCTGGAAGGAAGATCGGGCAATCTACTTCTGTAGTGATACTGCCTTGGAAACCCAAGGAGGGGTCGCTATGAGTCAGATCTGACTCGACAGCAGTAAGTTTATTTGGTTTATGGCTATTTCAGGTCTTTAGTCTTCATAGTTGAAGATAAGGATGGAGTTGCTTTCTTCTCTTTCAATCAGTCATCCCAAAGTACCCATTACACAGCTCAATTCCAAGTAGGCTATTATTAATGTTATGTATCAACATGGCTAGGCTATGATTCTCAGTGGTTTGGAAAATGTTATATAATTATCCTACATTTTGTGATCTTATGTGAGCAGCCAATCAATTGGAAGGGAAATTTCCTTGGGGATGTTGCCAGAATCTAATATATATGGATATTCTGGCAAAGCTTGTGCTCTCTCTTGATCCTGCATTCACCTTGTCATCCTCTGGTCTCTCGTTCTTGGCACATAAGAAGACTTCAGCCTGCTGCCTGACCTGCAGATTTTGGATTCATTAGCTGCTGCAGCCACGTGAGTCAGAAGAAGCTTCCATCCAAATGCCTAACCCGTGGATTTAGGACTGGCCAGCCTCCACAATTGTGTGAGCCATTTCCTTGAAATAAATCTCTCTATATATATTTACATATATGCCTCACTGATTTTGCTCTCTTAAAAAGCCTAGCCTAACACACTGGTTCTAAGAGTAAATGTTGTTGAATGAATTTGCTATCCCCCAAAATAACTGTGAGCCCATTCTCCCCTCCATGGAGATACCCTCTAAGGCAACAGAAAAACCATAGGCAAGGGCTCTAGTCCTGCTTCTATTAGCTGAGTGACCAGCTCCACCACTTTGAGAGCATGTTGCTGACACTTATTGGCAAAATTCCAGGCAAATAGGTGACAGCTTTTGGAAGGGAGTTCATGCTGTGACCTTACCAATGAAAGACAGTTTGATGGTAGATAAAGCTGGTAGATAAAGTTGGTCAACATAGACAAAGTAGATAAAGCTGGTCAACATGGTGTAGGTAAGGCTCCTTGAGAACAATGATTCCTTTCTACATCTGCTACTGGCTATTCCACATGCTGCCTTGTAGGAGGACTATTCTTTACCCTTCATCTTCCTTGCCCATAAAGAATGGGGGAGATTCCATTTACAATAGCATCTAAGAGAATAAAATACCTGTTGTTGTTGTTGTTGTTGTTATGTGCCGTCGAGTTGGACCCAACTCATAGTGACCTCTCCTTGGGTTTCCAAGGCAGTATCACTACAGAAGTAGATTGCCCTGCCTTCCTTCCAAGGAGTGGCTGGTGGGTTTGAACCACCAGCCTTCTAGTTAGCAGTCAAGTGCCTTAGGCACTACGCTTAACCAGGGACATGTGGGACTTATGTGATGAAAATTATAAAACACTGCTGAAAGAGATTAAAGAAGAGTTATATAAATTGAAAAATATACCATGTTCATGGATTGGAAGACTTAATATTGTCAAGATATCTATGCTACCCAAAGAACTCTACAAATTAAGTGCAATCCCAATCAAAATTCCAACAGATTTCTTTACAAAAATGGAAAAACAAAGCCTCACCTTTATATGCAATGGCAAGAGGACCCACCTAGCTAAACCAATGATGAAAGAGAAGAACAAAATAGGAGGACTCACACTTCCTGATTTTAAAATATGTTATACAGCTACAGTAATCAAAACAGCCTGTTATTGTTATAACAATAGACACATAGACCAATGAAAAAGGATTGAGAGCTCAGAAAT